TCTCTGAGGACAGGTTTTCATTAATGTTAAGGTTCCATTCACACTTGCGAATAGGGCCAACTGCGATTATCTTCAGGAGAATCAGTGAAGTAGGTCAAAGCAATGGGAGGCTGACAGCATCTGCAGCTATTTGCATGTAATTGGTCATGCAGCGATTACATATGGATGATCAGCCCATAGGTAATCGCTGCAGGATTGATTACATACGAATATCTGAGAATAGCTGCCGCCGCTGTCAGCCTACCATTGCTTTGAATGGGGTTTCCCACCGTCAGCTAAGCACAGGGAGTACTGCTGAAGCTCCCGCAGGTAATTATAAACAGCACCAGTAGTACTGGTCATTTGCAGGGAAACAGCAAAAAGAATGGAGCAGCTGGCAAGATCGGAAAAGTTAGAGAAAGTAGGTTTTTGATAAAATCTTTTCCTTGGAGTACATAATAAAACATCTTCAAATTAATGACCAATGGGTTATGCTGCCACCTTCAGCTGAATGGACACTGGCTGAAAAGGCAGGCTTTTCCACCCAGGCATAACTCCTCTAAGCACAGCTTATCTTAGGTTATGTGCACAAAGAGGGGAAGAATCGCTGTGATGTATTCAAAGAAAATGATTTTAAGGCAAACCAAGAACCCTACTTTCTTCGTGTATCACAGGACACATTCATGTTCAGTGCTTTGAGACATCAACAGGCATTGAACAAAAGGGGTGGGCATCACTGCAACAAGCCCAAGACCCCAAACAAACAGGGTTAAACCCCACTACAGAGCCCTCTGCAAGACTTTCTTCCAAAAAAGTAATCTGCAGAAATGTGAACACAGAAGCCTTATAAACTTAAACAAAAAGAAAGTTTGATACAGCATTGCCCCTGGTGGAATGAGCCTTGACCAGGAAAGGAGGAAACTTGCCCCCTCAAGGCAATATGCCTGAGCAGTAAGTTGACGAATCCTCGGAGAAATAATGAATGGAGAAGCGGCTTGGCCCTAGCAAGGACCCTCAGGTACAACAGTTGCCCGAAGGAACCATTTCCCCAGTTCCAGGGTCTAATGAGATCGACTATACTTGAGCCAAACTCGTCTTGGGATGCATACACTGAATCACGTTTCTGCGGTGACTTGGATCATTTACATCAGTCAACTTACATTTATATCAGTCTCCTTGTTACATCAGTGTCCTCAGTCCCCCTTCTTCACGTCAAAGCCCCCCTTTACCTCAGTAGCCCCTGCCCCCTTAACCTGCCTTCATAGCAGTGCCCCCCTGCACACCACCTTTCATAGCAGTGTCCTCAGCTCCCCACACCCTCCTAGCAATGATCTGAGTCCTCCCTTAGAGGGCAAGTCTGAACAGACTTGCCCAACTTTTCTTGTTAACAAGCTGATGATTGGTTGTGAGGAAGGCCCAGTGTCCTAGCAATCACTTGCTTGCAGCTCCCATCCTGTGCCCTGCTGTGAGGATGGCAGCGTGGCAGATGGGGGAAAGAAAGTAGATGAATCTACAGCGTGGCCAGGCAATAGAGAGCGAGCAGTCTACTAAGTTGTGCAACTGAGATGGTCCAAATTGGACGGTCACTTGGACCAAATCTGAAATGCGGTTCACCATTTCATGATATGTGCTCTAGAGACCTCAGGAACTCCACTCGAGAATGTAGCGACAGGCACTTCTCCTGTGGATCAAATTCTCTGGAATGAAGGATATGCTTTGCCCAAACTTATTTGCAGCCACTTCCGGCTGCAGAGCTTCCCCCACCAGAGAGAAATCTTCAAATCTCATATTTATAATGTCTTTGAAGACTGGGACCTCATCCATATAGGAAATAGCTGGGTCTACGGCCAAAGAACCCCACCTGAGAACTCCTTCATGGGGTACTACTGGGAAAACCGCTTTGGTGGCAGCAAAACCTTCTCTGGATGAGCCTAACTGGCACACATCACCTTTTATAAATAAGACCGAAGACTCCATTCACACTAGGGCATTTCAAATCTTGGATGAAATTGCCACAATTCTGCCTGTGATTTGAAAATACGCATTTGCGTGTTCAGGTTCCATGCATTTCAATGGAACTCGAAAAGGCAGGGAATTTCTGCCACAATCGCGATGCAGTTTTCCATGCAACACATGCTATTTGCTATTAAACATGTCCAATGAAAAAAAATGTAAAAAAAAAAATCAAATTTCGTCATAAATTTAGGGCAAAATGTACTCTGCTACATGTCTTTGCAAAGAAAAAATCCCAATACATGTAAATTAATTGGTTTACATGAAAGTTATAGCATTTACAAAATGGCAGTATATATATTGGATTTTTTTTTTTTTTTTTTACTAGTAATGGTGGCGTCTTATAGTGACTTATAGCGACTTATAGTGGGACTGCGGTGGGCATTCTGACACTGGGGGGAACTGACCTGGTGTCACCGACATCCCCAGTGACACCAATACTAATAAAAAGCACTGACACTTTACTAATGGCACTGGGCAGGAAGGGGTTAACATCTGGGGCGATCAAAGGGTTAACTGTGTGCTCTTTCACAGTATGCTGTGTGCACGCTTTCCACTGTAAGCACACTGCTTTGTATGGCTCTGCTATGCAGAGCCATACAAAGCAGTGTGCAGGAGCTGGCAGGGGAGAGATCTGTATTGTTTACATACAGTTCTTTCCCAAGTCGGTAATACTCGGTGATCACTGGGTGCCGCCGAGTAATCACTGTCCGGGACCCGGTGATTGACAGCGGAGGCCGTGAATGGCGGCACGGGTAGGGCTACCGTGAACTGCAAAACCACATATATATGTGATTTTGCTCACCCCTGCCGCCCTGTAGTAGTATTTCTGCTAAAGGACAGAGGGGAAGCTGTTAACTACATCTGTTTTTGTCATTTTGTGCAATTGTTCATTTTCAGTTTCAGGTTCTAAAAGAAGGCAGTGGAGGCAAGCTACGGTTATATTGTACAATTTTCAAATATAGAAACCCCCATTTTTTCCCATTGTTTAATTTTGCCCATTTTTGCTTTTTTCTGCAATTGTTTATACATTAATTCACTCTGTTATCCTCTATGTCCATTTTTGTTTGTTCGCACTATAAAAGTTAATCAAACGTATTTTCCGAAAATAAAAAAGGAGCACTTAAAAAACGTTTAATTACATTCTAAAAGCAGGGGTGTGAAGGGTTTATCAAACAACTGTTTCCCTTTTTAGTCCTCATGCACACTGGACGTTTTTACAGTGGCTGTTTTTGGCTTTTGACATTTTTTTTCTACAGCCAGTAAACTCCCCAGCATGTTATCCTATGTGTCCATGCACACACAGACTGCAATCAATATTTTTTGTCAGGGGCGTTTTTTGGCTGGAAAAAAAATCCAGAACTAGTGGGATTCTAGAGGAGTTTAGCTGTAAAAATGCTCTAACGCTGAAAAACGTGGCAAAACGCAGTAAAATCACAGCAAACCAGCGTTTGTGAACTTTTTTTGGTCAAATAAAACTCTAAAAAACGCAAACGTGAAAAAAAGTTGCTAAACGCTAATGCAAAACGCTGAAAGACTCACGTTAACATGACTTTACACAGCTAATGTTACCAGCGTTATTAAAAACACCCCATGTGCATGGAGCCCTATTATCTCAAAATCAGCTTAAAGCAGTATTAAAGTCAAAAACATAATAAAGAAAAAACAAAATATATATTGCAGCTTACCAATCCTTAGATACAGTGGTTGCATTAGGTTTTTGTTTAGTCTTTTCCCCCCCTTAATTTCATCTGATGATCCAGCCAGTAACACTCCCTGTCTAAGGGTGTCTGTATTTTAGATATAGTAAAGCAGTCACCTTTGGACAGCAGCTTTGTCAGTATGGGGGGAGGGTAGTGTTAGGTGCACTAACAAATTTAGATGGACATGACTAACAAATTGAGGCCAAACGCCAGCTAACATTTTTTACACCGTTACAGCAGTTTTTTTCACTTTTGGAATAAGGGTTTAAATAAATACAAAACTGACCTCTGCAAGCACCCCTTGTCGGTGGTAATTGGTCTCAACGTTCTAGCAGGTAGTTGAAAAGTATTATAATTTTCATTTTTTGGGTTTATTACAGTTTTCATGTGACATTTTTGACAAGTTTCCAAAGAAAAGCTGTGAAACTATAAGAAGAGTACAACCAATTACCTAAAGAACAATGTAATAATTTTATTTCAGTCATTCATGTAGCGGCGACAATCAGTCCCTGCCCTCAAGGAAGTTACAAGCTGAGGTCAACATCTCATACGCATACATACATAAGAACTCAATGAATAAACAAATTGCAAAAATAGAAACGTTTTACATCTGTTTGCAATGGTTCAATGTCATCCATTTGCTACAACATAACAGTTAATACAAATTCTGAAGTCTAAATACCATTTTCTTATGTAAAATATGTGCTATATCCCAGTTAGTTCTACCCAGGCTTTTGGAGACGGTCTGAACCATGCACAACCTTGGCTGTACTCATAGGAGCCTAAACAAGATTTTAGATGGCCATCCCACCAGTTGGTAGGGCTTACTGAACTGAAAACCGGTGATTGACTGCTTTTCTAAAGTCAGATAAAGCATCTGAATGGGAGCTGCTCCCAAGCTCCTCAATCTTCACGATCAGCATGTCATCTACTGGATTACAACGTAGGAGTGTAGCTTGTAGGATTCAGTGAAGCTCAGATGCAGTTGAAGTGACAACCAATCTGACAGACAGGCAAGGCTTGGCTGTTCTCCATAAGCCAGAGTATATACACTTTTAAAGGAGATTTTCCACTTTTCAAAATCAAGTCAATAAGCCTCAGATTGGTAAGGGTCTCCTCGCTCATAACAACTGCTGGCCAGCTGATGACAAAGAGCTCTGATACCACCGCACTTTAGAACAAGGTAACCTAGACTAGGAAAATCACTGCATTTCAAATCTGCAGCACAACCCCACAGAGGAGCAGCTGGCTTTCCACACAGTAAATACAAAAAGTCAAATGCTGTCTTTTAGATCGGAAAATTTCCTATTTTTGAGAAACTCTCAGAAACATTCGGACTGGCGAATCTTCCATTGGCTTAAAAGATTTGGTTTCTGTAAATGGAAAAAAAAAAAAAAAAAAAATTAAAAACATGCAATGTAAAAGTGAGCAAACTGGCATGAAGTGAAAGATCAATATATACTCCATTAGAAAACAGCATTTCGGCTCTTTTCTGGAGGTCGGCTGTAAAGCCTGGACCAGCAATATGCAAAAGTAACAAACACGTGAAAGCTTCAGATAGCAGTTATCCCAACCCTGATATCAGCAGGAGGTATGAACTCTCCCTGAAGTCTCACTTTGAAGTTTCGGTACCACTCTAATGCCATGTTAGGCCATGTTTCCTCCCACACAAAAGTCAGAGTGATATAATATATTGAAGTCATATACTGCGGTTTACAAAAAGCTGATTAAAAAAAAAAAAATTATTGTTCCAGCATACAAAGAACAATCCACCTAACTACTCTGTCAGATATGCTTCACACTCTTACTGAGGCTTATACGTAGAACAAGAGGATATGGGTGAATAGCAGTATTTATACACAAGTGTCTAAATCCTACTTAATCCTTAAAGGAAAAGACTTTCTGCACACTTCTACATCTCTTGGAATTCATTTCATATTAAAAACTTGCCTAAAGAGCCATTTCTGTCATATCTAAAATTCAGCATTTTTTTCGCCAGAAAATTATTTAGATTCCCTATACATTATATATTATTTTTAAAGAGGCCCTAGAAAATAAAATGGTGTTGCATATTTGTATGCTGCAGCAGTTTTTTCAAATGCAAATTTTTTTGTGGAAAAAATACACTTTAATGAATTTAGTGAAAACAAACACAATACCCCAATGTTTGGTAAAATATAAAAAAAAGACAATGTTATGCCAAGTAAATAGATACCAAACATGTCACACTTTAAAAACTGCACACATGCTCGTGGAAAGGCAACAAACTACGGTGCAATTACATTATCCATAGGTGACGCTTGTAAGCCTTTACAGGTTACCAGTTTAGATTTGCACAGGAGGTCAGGCCCTAGAATTATTGCTCTCACTCTGACATTTATGGTGATATCTTGCATGCATGGTGTGGGACTGATGCTAGCATTGACCTTTGCGTGTGAGCATGGGGGTGCTTTAACTATTTTTTTATTTTCACACACATTGTACCTTTAATTTTGCAAATCAACTATATTGTTAGCACAAGTGATGGACAACATCCCTTGTGGTATCATGGGCAGTGACAGGTTCTCTTTATGGAGAGACCTGGGGTCCTGATCTGCTGCTTAACAAGCTGGCAACAGCTTGTCAACAAATCTAAAGTAACAAAGTCATCTTTTCTTCCAGTTTCTGAGGTCACACAGTGTCTGCAGAAGCCGATGCCATGGGTTGCATGCTTAGCAGGCTCTTCCATCCAATCTGCAACCTGTAGAAGTAATTCAGTGGCTGTATAGCTCCCTAGGATTACTTTTACAGTGTGCAGTTGCCTGATGTAAAAAAATACCTGGCTAATGGCTGCTGCCTCCAATGATAGTAGTATAACCACTTCACTATGAGGACGTACATGTACGTACAGCAGTATGGAGGTCATTATGCATACACCCTCAAGTAAAACCAACAACTTATTGCTTCATGTCAATATTCACACAATTTTTGCTCCCTCTTATTTCATGATTAAGACCCAGTAGGGGGTAAAATACATCAGTAAAATCTAGGTTGAATGTGCTCTGAAAAGCTAAACTGGCTTTATTGTTCCAGCATTAAAGTAATGGCTTCAACATAGGACATCTGTCCCATTAGTATAGTACCAACCTGAATTCTAAAGTATTCTGCTTCCCTTACACAGGAATGTGCAGATTGCCCAGTTGAGTGCACATCAATAAGGGCTGTGTAGCCTTCAGGTTACCGGATAAACAGGTTGATTTTCAAAACACACTGAAATGAATAGAAACTTACTAAGTTGCATTGAGAGTTGCTGCAAGTGTGAAGACGTTTCGCTGCAAAAAGAATCTATTAATTGGACAGACTGCTGAACCTCATCCAACTGAAACAGAAAAGACAAAAATACTCCAGTTTAAATATATTAACACAAGCCAAAAAGGAAAGACAGTTTTAGGAAAACTGTAAAAAAGATACAGCTAATACAAATTACCAGTTATACATAAATGTGTGTGTTAAAGCTGAATCCAAATTATATTTTGCCTGTGGTTTCTCCTTTCACCTTCTTTTTAACACACAAATTACATTTTTAAAATAAAACCTGTTTTCATGACATACCTTATTTTAAACCCAGTGACATTAATAGGTCTATGTGCTTCTCTAGGCAATGTAGATCATGGATGGTGGAAGGGGCTAGCATTGTGTTGTACACAGCTTCCTGGAAACTGTGGTAACACCCACATATGATGCTGAGCCTCCATGACTGAAAACACTGTAATCCAATAATGAAATGAGCAGGCCAGAGAACGGCTAGATGATGCTAGACACCCACCAGCCAGCCAGGAAATGAGGCGGGCTCCATCTTATTGGCTGCAGCTTCCTATGCACATCATCAGAAAGTTGGAAATCAAATCACAATAAAAAACATCAGTACAAAATAGAAGCCTATACAACTGTGCAAGACTGAAGGGAAGGCTGGATTTCACCTTTAAAGCCGAACTCCAACTTTTATTATCCCATGCAGTGGGGCTGTGTCCTGATTGCATGGATTAAATGCTAGTTTTGTCCAGCGGTTTAGGGAAAAGCTATACTTACCCTGTTCCTCTAATCCTTGGAAAGATGCGCTCCCCCACATCCAGGAAGTGGACTGTTCCTGCGGTCCTCACATCTAAAGCCAGTCTATGGGTGTGAGGACATCAGGAAAAGCCCTTTTACAAGACCATTATTGTGAGGGGGAAAGGGGCAGGAGAAGGAGTCGGGGACAGATCTTGTGAGCAGAGATCGGCAGATTAGGCAAGTATATCTTTGCTTTCCAAGCTCCTAGACAAAACAAACATATAACCCATGCATTGCAGGCACAGCTCCACTGCATGGAAAAAAGAAACAATTTTGCTTGGAATTCTTTAAAGTGGTCGTAAAGGTTGAAGATTCTTTTACTTTGATGCATTCTGTGCATTAAGGTTACAAACCTTCTTTGCATAGAATCCTCCCAAATATTTACATGAGCTTGATCTCAAACCACACTGCCTGAGAGCAGCAATGATTGAGCCCGCACAAGTTCCCCCTGTGGTAAGAGGCGGTGGGAGGAGCCAGGAATGCTGGCGGGGGATCCCAGAAGTGGGGAATCAAGAAAAAAAAAAAAATATATACACACACACACACATATATATACGCATACATATACACACACACGCGTTTTTACAATCACTTTAAACAAAAACGCACATTAAAAAGGGACATGTGCTTGGATATACAGCACAATAGTTACACTTTTTTTCTATTTTTTCTACAACCTGTTAAAAGAGGAACTTTACCCATAACAACTTGATAAAGAATAATTTTCTTTAGCAAGAAACATACATTCCACATTAATAATTACATTACCAAACTCAGTGTATGCTGTAAATTACCTCCAGCATTGTTCCTGCTTCTTCTGCTGGAAGCTGCCATTTTGCTGAAGCCCAAAGCCCCTGATCAACAGTAAATCTTTATACTGTCAGCAGATTGGCCTCTAGTGGCTCTGATTTTTGGCACAAAAAAAAAAAAAAAAAAAGCAACTGAGCATGTGCACAGAAGGATGAGACAGGCACATATTTTTAATGTTTTACATAGCTTTACCTGCAAAAGAGGCCAGCCTGGCAGGACTTAATTTTCTGACTCAAGTTCCACTTTAACATTTGCATTGATGTTACAGAGAAATAGGCGTCACTATTTGCATGGTCATATGCAATAATCATCCCACCTGTTCAGGAAATGGGGTTAATCCTTTATGGCGGCCATGCGCATATACATGGGCTTTCTGGACCCTACTACAGGTACAAACAATATACACATATATGTTGTATCGCCAGGATCAGAATAAAAATTTTAAAGGTTCTTTTCTGGTGGTGAACCATGTCAATGGCCAGAAATAAACAGCTAAGGTATTAAAAAAAAAAAAAAAAAAAAAATTCTTTTTTTTTAGTCACGGCACATCTGACCGGAAGTGGGAGCAGGTTCCTGTCAAAACCAGCAAGGGAATATCCTGAGTACCAAGAGGACCATGGGGGCAATGGAGAGCGCACGGGGGGGCACAGCATGGTGAAGCCCATGGATAAACGTGTGATCAAGAAGTTTGAAGTCAGGGTTGCTGAAAAAAAGATTGTGAGGATAGAGATCTGACCCTTGATGATACTCCAAGTTTTTTGTCAACACCCTATTGAAGGCAGCCACCGGAAGGAGTGGAGATGAACCCCTAAAGACTCATGCCAAACTATATCAACCCTCCAGAAGCGAGAGTGTATATCTTCTGGGAGGCAGACTCACAAGCCTTCAAACAAGGTAAGGATCACATAAGTAGGTAACCCCTAGTCCTTCAGGACCAGGCTTTCAATAGCCATGCTGTCAAAACCAGAGTCAGTAAGGCAGGGTGGAAGAATGGCCCCTGGGACAGAAGTTCCTCCCGTAGAGACAAAAGTCAGGGAGTGTCCACGACCAGCCTCACCACCTCGGCATTCCAAGGACGACGGGGCCAGGCCAAAGCCATCAGAATGACTGGAATTCCTTCAGCCTCTAACCTGCACAGCAGGTAAGGAAACAACTTGAGGGGAGGAAAGGTGTAAATGAGACTATCGATCTCACCGCGCAACCTTCTGTTGCATCCACCAGAGGATCTCAGGTCCTGGCCACAAACAACGGAACCTGACTGTTGCGGTGAGACGCCAGTAGACCCACTTCCGGCGACCCCCAGTGAAGACATAGCTGTTGGTGTATCTCCAAGTGTAGGGACCACTCCCCCTGATCCAGTGTGCGCCGGCTGATGTATTCCACTGCCCAATTCTAGATGCCAGGGATATGCATGGCAGACAACACTGGAAAGCACCTCCAGCGCCGCTGCTGCACTTTGAATTCCGCCCCAGTGATTGACCTAGGCCATCGGGGGGTGTTGTCTGATTGGATACTTGTCGGGAATCCCCCGAAGAGATCTGTCCAAAGCTGACAGCCTGAATGCCCGAAGCACTAGGGCACTGACGGGTAGCTGAGTGTCCTGAGTCCAGCGATTTTGGTTTGTGTTCGAGCCTAGGACTCCTCCCCAGCCCAAGAGGCTTGCAGCAGCTGGGACTACCTTCAGCGACATACAGTCAGGTCCATAAATATTGGGACATCGACACAATTCTAACATTTTTGGCTCTATACAACACCACAATGGATTTGAAATGAAACGAACAAGATGTGCTTTAACTGCAGACTGTCAGCTTTAATTTGAGGGTATTTACATCCAAATCAGGTGAACGGTGTAGGAATTACAACAGTTTGCATATGTGCCTCCCACTTGTTAAGGGACCAAAAGTAATGGGACAGAATAATAATCATAAATCAAACTTTCACTTTTTAATACTTGGTTGCAAATCCTTTGCAGTCAATTACAGCCTGAAGTCTGGAACGCATAGACATCACCAGACGCTGGGTTTCATCCCTGGTGATGCTCTGCCAGGCCTCTACTGCAACTGTCTTCAGTTCCTGCTTGTTCTTGGGGCATTTTCCCTTCAGTTTTGTCTTCAGCAAGTGAAATGCATGCTCAATCGGATTCAGGTCAGGTGATTGACTTGGCCATTGCATAACATTCCACTTCTTTCCCTTAAAAAACTCTTTGGTTGCTTTTGCAGTATGCTTTGGGTCATTGTCCATCTGCACAGTGAAGCGGCGTCCAATGAGTTCTGAAGCATTTGGCCGAATAGGAGTAGATAATATTGCCCGAAACACTTCAGAATTCATCCTGCTGCTTTTGTCAGCAGTCACATCATCAATACAAGAGAACCAGTTCCATTGGCAGCCATACATGCCCACACCATGACACTACCACCACCATGCTTCACTGATGAGGTGGTATGCTTAGGATCAGGAGCAGTTCCTTTCCTTCCCCATACTCTTCTCTTCCCATCACTCTGGTGCAAGTTGATCTCGGTCTCATCTGTCCATAGGATGTTGTTCCAGAACTGTGAAGGCTTTTTTAGATGTCGTTTGGCAAATTCTAATCTGGCCTTCCTGTTTTTGAGGCTCACCAATGGTTTACATCTTGTGGTGAACCCTCTGTATTCACTCTGGTGAAGTCTTCTCTTGATTGTTGACTTTGACACACATACACCTACCTCCTGGTGAGTGTTCTTGATCTGGCCAACTGTTGTGAAGGGTATTTTCTTCACCAGGGAAAGAATTCTTTGGTCATCCACCACAGTTGTTTTCCGTAGTCTTCCGGGTCTTTTGGTGTTGCTGAGCTCACCCGTGCGTTCCTTCTTTTTAAGAATGTTCCAAACTGTTGTTTTGGCCACGCCTAATGTTTTTGCTATCTCTCTGATGGGTTTGTTTTGTTTTTTCAGCCTAATGATGGCTTGCTTCACTGATAGTGACAGCTCTTTGGATCTCATCTTGAGAGTTGAAAGCAACAGATTCCAAATGCAAATAGCACACTTGAAATGAACTCTGGACCTTTTATCTGCTCATTGTAATTGGGATAATGAGGGAATAACACACACCTGATCATGGAAGAGCTGAGAACCCAATTGTCCCATTACTTTTGGTCCCTTAATAAGTGGGAGGCACATATGCAAACTGATGTAATTCCACACCGTAATTTACACCGTTCACCTGATTTGGATGTAAATACCCTCAAATTAAAGCCGACAGTCTGCAGTTAAAGCACATCTTGATCGTTTCATTTCAAATCCATTGTGGTGGTGTATAGAGCCAAAAATGTTAGAATTGTGTTGATGTCCCAATATTTATGGACCTGACTGTAGGAGAAAAGACTTCTTGGCCCTCCGGGACGGAGAATGGAACCAAAGCAGGGAGGCCCTTGCCGGCTGCCTGTCCCACTTGCACAGGATTTTCTTCTGTAGTTTCTGTGTGGAACTGGGCATACAGGACCCATAGGAAGGTAGCCACCCTCACGCCCAGAGCCTACATGCACAGCTACAGGGATGGTCACGTGCAGAACCAAAGCTGCCTGATCGCAGGGCAGAGCTTCCAGAGTTTGGCCATCAGAACATCTTGACCTGTGCTGAAGCGAGAATCAAGCCCAAATAAGCCAGACGCTGGGACAGAGTCATGGCAGACTTCCCGATGTTTAGGATCCAATCGAAGTCCTGAAAGGAGCGTACAGTAATTGCCAACCTGTCCCCTCATGCAGAATAAGCCTCTGCGTGGAGGATAGATCATCCAGGTGCTCGCTCATGGCAATCCCTCACTGTTTCAACAAGGCCACAACCGGGGCCAAAAACTTTGACAAACACTCAGAAAGCGGAGGCCAGGCCAAAATGTAGAGAAACAAACTGATAATACGCACCATATCACAAAGTGCAAGAAACACTGGTGTCCCTCGTAGATGGGAATGGGCAGGTAGGTGTCCTTGATGTCTATGGAGGCCAAGAAGCCCCTCATATAAAGAGAAGCCCCTACAGAGAGAATGGATTCCATCTTGAACTTTTGCACCCTCACAAAGACAGCTAGGGCCTGAGGTCCAAAAATGGCTGGACCTCATACGGCATGGGGACCGCAAATAGACTAGAAACCCCAGAATCATCCTGACTTGGGGACAGGGACAAATCACACCCCAAGACAGCAGGCCCTGCCCTGTGAAGAGCCCAAAGGCACTCTTGGGGAGCCAAAGAATGGAGGGCAGGGACTTGTCTGGAAAAAAGAACCAAAATTTATTCTGTACCCAGAGACAAAGATCGTGGACCACTTGTCGTGAAATAGGCGCTTATGAGCCATGAAGACAGGTGCCAACTTCTGCCACGGCTCCTTTCCTCACATGGGTCTACAGGAGGAAGGTGCTCTTGCCACTTGTGAGGTTCTGAATGACATCCAAAGTGACCACAAACAGGCGGTCGCCCTAGAAAGGGCTGGTATCACTGTGGCCCTATGGAACCAGGAAATTTGGGATCTAACACAGGATGAGAGGTCCACTTCTGAGGGGCAGCATCTCCAAAGGCAGTAGTGTACCATAAACCACTTTGGGAACCACAAAAGGGATGCCACGAACATTCCCATTCCTAGTAACCAAACCCATAAAGCATGTGGTGTAAGGAAGAAAAAAAAAAAAAACAAAATTAATAGACTGAGCTGGCTCATGTGTCCAAGGGGAAAGGCACCACATCATCTGCTCCAGCAGAGACCTGCTGTTGTATTTGAAGCACAGAGACAACCTGTGCTGCAACCAGTGCCTGCCCCTGTGCGACGACAAAGGCAGAAGACCCCTACTCCTCGACCGAGGGCTCAGAGGATGCACAATTGTATCTTTTGTTGTGGAACTGAAGCCTGCTTGGACACACAGGGAACTTACCCTCCAAAACGGTAGATCCCGTTGCCCCGCCAGTGGATGTCAGCTACTTCACCAATCCAGTTGAAGGAGCTCAAAGACCTGTCTCCCAAAGTGCTCCCCACCACCTTCACAGGGCACAGGAATATGGGGGGAAATAAGCTCCACCGACCACCTGTACCAGGTATTCCAGTAGGGCCTCAGCCACATGCAGGGCGAATACAGATCATGCAGCCATTAAGTCTGACCCATTAGGCATCCTCAGGTCTCCCTATTAGAACCAAATCTGCCCCACTCTAATCACCGGCCAGACACACACATAAAAAAAAAAAAAAAAAAAAGGCTGGGACCACACCAAAATGGCTGCCACTGCAGTCTCTTGCTGAGCAACAGGGCAGCGCCCTGGCCTGCCCGCAGTCCCAACCCTAGCCTCATCCCATTCCCATATGAAGAGATGCAAAGGGCAGATGCCCAAAAGCAAAAAAAGGTGGGTGCCCCACCCAGCCCAGCAGACCGCAAAGGCAGGGATCCCCCCCACGGGGGGAGAGTGCATGTGATCAGCACAGGGCCTATCAGCACTGTCCAGACAGAGGGTCAGGGGTTTTGCATCCTCCTACACCAGAAAGAAAACTCCTCCTACAAGCTTTAACCAGTGCTCTTCTAAAGTCACAAGACTGCTCTGCTTATGAGAAAAAGGTATTTAGCAGTTTATATTTACTAAAATAATTGCATTTTAATGTGTGTACTGTGGGAGACCAGATATAGTGAATGCAGGGTGCTGGGTTTAGTAACACTTTAACTTGCTGTCCTACTCCTGTAGGTGGCGCTATGAAACCCTGTTTGGTCAAGATTATAGAAGAGAGGCTGTGTCAGTCAAACGCAAGAGAAAATAGAGCTGTGTAGATTGGCATCTTGTATGCCTATGGATGCCAGAAATTCCCAATGTCTTAGGAAAGACAGATCTCCTTGATTCCAACTGGAAATCTGATATATAATGAAATCGGTTTAAAGGTTTTAAGACCAGCATGGGGGTGATACCCCATTTGGTTTTGAGGATGTAAGCAGGTTTGAATAGCGACGTTCCACTCACCCTGTCAAAAAATAAGTCAGCAGCTACAAAAACTGTAGCAGCTGACTTTTAAAAAACAGCTACTTACCTGTCCCTCGGTGTGTGTCCCGCAGCCTGTTTCACCGGCCGTCCTGTATTCCAGGACGACGGCATCTTCAGTGTGGGCACCCAGCTGTGATTGCTTGCGGCTTCACAGCCGGGTACCCACTGCACATGCGCGAGTAGCGCTGCGCTTCATGAATGGTCCTCTAGTCTTCTGGGACCTGTCATGTGTCCCAAAAGACTACAGGGAGGGAGGGAGGACACCACCTGCTTCCAATCGCCTAGGCGATTGGACCAGAAGTGGGAGCGGGTACCTGTCAAATTCAGGAATTTTTATTATTATACAGTATTTTTATATAGCGCCAACAGTTCGCTCAGGTCTGTACATTACCCACTCCCTCCCCGCCCCCCAAAGGTGCCAATTCCCTTTTGGGTGGAGCTCCGCTTTAAAACCATTCTTCGAAAGGAAATGGAACCACTCCTTGTGCCTGAAGTTGGTGAAGGATGGTCATAAAATCTGCCTTCTTTTGGTCTGAAGTTCCCCATTGCTAAGGGTGGGGGGCGTCCCTTCACAGAGAGGGCTTTAGGGAAAGCTTGGTGCACTTAGGAGTCTAGGGCTTGCAACAAAAGGAGGTGCTAAGCCTTGATTTGAACTAGATGCCTTGGGAGAGTGAAAGGAACCCCTGTCCAGTTAGCAATATTATGGCAGACGACAAAGCAAGGACAAAGAAGGCTTTAAACAGGACTTCCAAATGTCTATCAACAAAATTCATTAAAAAGGGAACAGCCTCAATAGAAGCTGTAAGGAGTCTATGAACTAAAATGACACGATCTACCACTAGAACAGTCCAGTCCATTTGTTTTAACCACTTCAGCTCGAAAAGATTTACCCCCTTCATGACAAGGCCATTTTTTTGCTATACTGCACTGCGCTACTTTAATTGGTAATTGCACGACCTTGTAACGCTGTACCCCAAACTAAATATATATAATTATTTTCACACAAATAAAGTTTTCTTTTGGTGGTATTTGATTACCGCTTTTTTCTTTTTTTGCAAATAAAAAAGACCGAAAATTTTGAAAGTAGGCAGCATCGTACCTGTACATCGCTTTCAGTACAGCGGCCATCTGTCCGCAGTGCATTGCAGACGGTTGGGCGTAAACTGGTTAAAACTCATTTTTATAGCATAAATCTCAGCAAAAAGCTTAGAGGTAGCAAGTACCCTTTCAGGATTGGACCAGTCCTCAAAGCACACACTCTTAGTATATTTGAAAAAGTTTTTCTACTTAACCAGTTTGTAGTCTGTGGGAGTCATGTGGTGTTAAGAAGGTAAAACCTCCGTTTCCAAAATTTGGGTCCTCATTACTTTCCTCCATAATATCCTCAAAGAAAGGAGGCTCCGCTACTAAATTCTGAATAGGGTCTTCTACAACATTTATAACGAGGAACTTTAGGATTGTTTGACATGTCTGCAAACCACACACATTTATGACACATACCACAATTTCCATGCTGTCAAACACTGCCCCCTGCTGACACAATATTGCGTTGTAGTCTGGTTTGCTTTGAAGAATTTCTTTTTGGGAAGACATGTGTGCATCACTTGCTAAAGGTCCCTTAATTATTTCATTTTCTTCCAGCTGCCTATGTAAATACAGAAAAAAAAAATCATATTTACAAAATGTAAATCTAAGGTATAAAATAAAGATGGTTGAAATAATGTTATAGAGATCACTGGGAAATTACCGTGTGTACGTTTACAACTCCAGGCAAACAACTACAAACATCTCAATCTTGGTATCTACCTGTAATAATTTACACCTCTGTGCCACACAGCACACCTACAAAAATCAATAGACTTCCTTGTTCAGCCTTACAGCTGGGTCACTTCTCTACTTGGACAATGGTGACTGAGCAGATTCATTGTCCAGGGAACGGGCTGGGACAGACAGATGACACCGAACGCTGTAAAGCTAAACCAGGAAGCTGGGGTGACTGTTCTATTAAACAATGAGGTGACTGTAGCTGTATTAGTGCACTTGCAACAGAAACAATTGAGTACTCTCTGTGATACTTTTCTTATTTCCACCAACATACATCTTTTCAGGACAAGCTTTCGGAGTATGTACTAAATTACTGCTTGGACCTTGCAAAAAAAAAAAAAGGACATACTCCGAAAGTTTGTTCTGAAAAATTGTACGTTAGTGCTAATAAAAAAAAGTATCATGGACAGTACTCAATTGTTTCTGTATTAAGCAATGAATAAGAAGAACAGCATTACAAATCCATTAGAGGTTAAACAGAACAAATATCAGTTTGTTCTGACTGGATTTCTGCTTAGTCTGATAACAAATATGTAAACTGAATTTTTATAACCCAAATCAAAAACGGATTAAGAATCTGGACATTAATATACAAAAATACATGCATAAAACTATAGTACCCAAGTAGGGCATTTATTATTCGTTGTCTATTGCTGCAATGCACACATTTCAAAAAGAAAACCTGTAATGAGACAAAATTGCCAGCATGCTAGCCATTCCTTAATTGCCTCCCGACCATCCACTGTAGTTAAAGTGGTTGTAAACCAATATATATTCCCAGTGAAGTGACTGGTCTCAGGTGATACAGGGATGAAACAAACCCTCCTACAAAAGTTGTACCTGTTTATTTGTAGCCCTCCCTTCTCCACACCCATTCAGAGTGCAGTATTTACAGGTGAAACTTGAGAAATTAGAATATCGTGCAAAAGTTCATTTATTTCAGTAATGCAACTTAAAAGGTGAAACTAATATATGAGATAGACTCATTACATGCAAAGCAAGATAGTTCAAGCCGTGATTTGTCATAATTGTGATGATTATGGCTTACAGCTCATGAAAACCCCAAATCCACAATCTCAGAAAAATTAGAATACATGCAATCAATAAAACAAGGATTGTACATAGAACAATATCGGACGTCTGAAAAGTATAAGCATGCATATGTACTCAGTACTTGGTTTGGGCCCCTTTTGCAGCAATTACTGCCTCAACGCGGCGTGGCATGGAAGCTATCAGCCTGTGGCACTGCTGAGGTGTTATGGAAGACCAGGATGCTTCAATAGTGGCCTTCAGCTCTTCTGCATTGTTCAGTCTCATGTCTCTCATATTTCTCTTGGCAATGCCCCATAGATTCTCTATGGGGTTCAGGTCAGGCAAGTTTGCTGGCCAATCAAGCACAGTAATCCCATGGTCATTGAACCAGGTTTTGGTGCTTTTAAAAGTGTGGGCAGGTGCCAAGTCCTGCTGGAAAATGAAGTCAGCATCCCCACAAAGCTCGTCTGCGGAAGGAAGCATGAAGTGCTCTGAAATCTCCTGGTAGACGGCTGCGTTGACCCTAGACTTAATGAAGCACAGTAGACCAACACCAGCAGATGACATGGCTCCCCAAATCAACACAGACGGTGGAAACTTCACACTGGACTTCAAGCATCTTGCAGTGTGTGCCTCTCCATTCTTCCTCCATACTCTGGGTCCTTGGTTTCCAAATGAGATGCAAAAGTTGCTCTCATCAGAAAAGAGGACTTTGGACCACTAAGCAACAGACCAGGTCTGTTTTTTCTTTAGCCCAGGTAAGACGCTTCTGACGTTGTTTGTTGTTCAGGAGCGGCTTGACAAGAGGAATACGACATTTGAAGCCCATGTCCAGGATCCGTCTGTGTGTGGTGGCTCTTGATGCACTGACTCCAGCCTCAGTCCACTCCTTGTGAAAGTCCCCAACACTTTTGAATGGCCTTTCCCTGACAATCCTCTCCAGGCTGCGGTCATCTCTGCTGCTTGTGCACCTTTTTCTTCCACACTTTTCCCTTCCACATAACTTTCTATTAATGTGCTTTGATACAGCACTTTGGGAACATCCAACTTCTTTTGCAATTACCTTTTGAGGCTTTCCCTCCTTGTGCAGAAAACCATCATTGACACCCTCCATAACTGTCAGGTCAGCAGTCTTTCCCATGATTGTGATTCCTACTGAACCAGACTGAGAGACCATTTAAAGGCTCAGGAACCCTTTGCAGGTGTTATGGCTTAATTAGCTGATTAGAGTGGGACACTTTGAGCCGAGAATATTGCACCTTGTCACAATATTCTCATTTTCTGAGATTGTGGATTTGGGGTTTTCATGAGCTGTAAGCCATAATCATCACATTTATGACAAATCACGGCTTGAACTATCTTGCTTTGCATGTAATGAGTCTATCTCATATATTAGTTTCACCTTTTAAGTTGCATTACTGAAATAAATGAACTTTTGCACGATAGTCTAATTTTTCGAGTTTCACCTGTATAAAGCTTGTTTGAGCTTTCAGAAAGCAGGGGGCGGGGATACTACAGAGCTCAGTAAGAGCTGACTGAAGGAAAGGGACACAACTGCAGTCACACAGCAACAGAGCTGAGGTTTCCAGTCACAGGCTGTGTGGTGGAGCTCCCTCCAGTCACCTTTTTCTCTTGGCGTCAAGAAAATCTGCATGCAAAATCTTTGCATTTTCAAAAATTTCTGTAAACAGCCTTTTTGCTGCATTTTGACATATAGCATCTGTCAATCTGTCAGAGATAAACAAACTTCCAGCTGATATGCATAAAAATTGCAAAGTGTGTGCATTCTACATTCTTTTCAATACAGAAGATAGGGTCTTCCCTGGAAATTTTCCAAAAAAAAAAAAAAAAAAAATTTAACTTGAAATCACATCAAATGTGCAAGTAAAAAATGCATGAACCGAGAAATGGAAAAATAAAAAAAATAAAGTGGCCGTAACTCTGGCCAAGCCAGACACTTTGGATGGTGTTAGAGGTCACCCACAGTCTAGCAAGTAGCAGTGATTGGAAGTCAGGTACTTGATAAGTAAGACCACAACCTTCAGTCTGCAGTTGACCTCTGACTTGGTATCATGCACTTTCGATCCCCTGTGCAGCTGTGCTCAGTCTGGGAAAGGGAATTACAGCATGAGGAGAGCCAATGGTATGTACTGCAGGGCTCACGGTGCTATCACAATCAACATGCTGATAGGAGATGTGCCCAGTCTAGTGCTTCTCCATTTACAGACCAGGGACAGGGTGGGAGAGGGACAAGACAAGTAACATAATTGCAGTAGAAAAAAAATCTGGAATCCTTCCCTGCCAGAAAAGCTGGGTTGCAGAGCTGTATTAATCTCACAATTGGATGGACAGAAACAAAACCTTTGGCATGTAATACAGTACATACAACATGCATTTCATCCTTGTATTTAGCGGTTTGCCTGGAATTCAGCATTAAAGCAGATGTTGAGCCAAATACGTTTCCTAATTTTGATTAGCGTGGGCAAGGGTTAGAACTCCTAAGTTTTTACCAATATCTGGAGCTCCATTAGTAGAGATTTCCCCTTGCTTACTGTCCTGCTGACAGCTGTTTCACCAGACAGAAAATGAAGGGGAAAACAAACAGGGACACAGCCACAAAAAAAAAAAAAAAAAAAAAAAAAAAAAAAAAAAATCAGACAGAAGTTCTAGCCTTCCCCTACTTTACAAGACAAGCATTTTTTTTTTTTGTATGTGTTGCTGCTGGAGAGTTCCCCTTGCTCCTGTCTAGTAAAACATAGTCGGAAGCACAGTAAGTGAGGGTAAATCGCTCAGAAAACCCCAACAGGGATTCTAATCCCTCCACCATCTAAAACATAAAAATAAACACACACTTTTATCAGACTTGCACTTCAAAATCCCACACAGTCAAATTCTTGCATGAGCCCAATTATGGCTGGTTCTCTTGAGGAATACATGACAGAAAGCAAACCATAGGTAAGATTTCCAAATGCACATCATTTTTTTTTTTAATAAGGTTCCTTGACTACAGCATATTAAAAACAAACCTGGATATTTCTTCTGCTTTCTTCTTGTAATCTTCCAAAAGCTCTTCCCACTGCTGACACTCACTGGTCATACTGAAAATGGGGAAAAAAACGAAAAAGAGTTAGCCAGGTTCCTGCAAAAAAAAAAAAAAATGCTTAGCACTGAGACTTTGTAGTTATGTTTTGATCAGACTACTGTCAGTGCCAGACAGCTTCTCATCTTCAAATTCATCTATTGATAAACAGTCTTTATAGAATAAGCCATGTAACAGAAATAAGTCACTTTAGCTACTGTAGTCACCCTGACTTAGTGAACATTGCGGTGGCGGTGACAGCAGAAGTGCAGAAGGTTGCTCATCCTTGCTGTAAGGTCTCCAGAAGATTGCCAATTAACAGACTTTTCTCTTTATATTCCCTTTTAAAACATGAGCTGCTGCCACCGGTGCAGTCATGGGTTTCTTAATGGTGCATAGTTCAGATGACTTTCTGCTGAGAACAAACCCATTAATTGCACAAGAAAATCTACTGATGTCCTCCTCCTAACATTCTTTTACAGCCAAAATCAGACTCATGCAAAATTGAACAATTATCTTCCATTTTGTGGATGGCTCTCTCTGCCGCAGGAACAACACTTTGAACGATCATAAAGGGCAAAGATGCCTTCACAGTACAAAGTGTTCCTCATTTACGCAGAAAGGTTCAGTCTATTACTAAACAATCATTAACGTAGGCTTATTTTTTTCCTCTGAATTGCTTTAGACATTACAGAAATCCACACACTATATTACATTTTCAGTTAAAGCTTGGATCTGAGGTATCTGCTTTAATCATTTATGCAAGAATTGGGCTATATGGGTATCCACATATCTCCTGATCTGCTGTGCTAAACATATTCTGCTAACAGGTCACATAAGCTACGGCTGATCTACATAATCAGTTTGGCTGAAGACCAAGATCTTCTTGAGCAGCGCAGCTTCTTGCCCCCTCTTGGTGATTGATTTATGCCACTGCCATGGCATTGTTTGACCACATTCGAAGCAGGTGCCACCAAAGAAACAACCAAACACTGGAGGGGGACCGAAAAAATTGCCTGAAGGTAGCTAGCAAAAAGACAAAGTACCAGTCCCTTCCATGACTGAAGATTAAAGTAGAACTTCACCCTAAAGGGGAATGTGTTGAACCATCTGGAACCTCGATTGGGTGCCTCTGCCAAACAGTACCTCCAGCTCTCCAAGCCCTTCCAGCGGACCTTTACCTTAACCCCTTGACGCCGACGTAACACAAATATGTGGCCTCACGGACCTGGGCTTTATTCCGTGGGGCCGCATATTTGCGTACCTGTCTTTGTGCTGGGAGCGCGCCGCTCGGCGCGCTCCCAGCACCAAGACCGCGGTGTCACTGAGAGCCCCGGGTCCCGTTCTAACGATCGGGACCCGGGACTCCCGATTCCGGGTCACGTGATCGCTGTGATAGCCTCTGATTGGCTATCACAGTGATCAATCACTGTGCAGCCTGGCCCCCTTGTTTTCTCTCTCTCTATGAATGGAGAGAAGAGAGATACATTGTATCTCTCGAACTCCTGACATAGAGAGATAAAAAAAAAAGTTTGTAAAAAAAATTAAAAAAAAAAAAAAAGATAAATATTAAAAAAATAAAAAATAAAGAAAAATACCTAGATCAAGGTTTGATCTAGTTCAGTACCAGGGTTAGTGTTTGGGTCAAGGTCAGGGTCAAAGGTCAGGGTCAATGGTCAAGATTTTAAAAAAAAAAATTAGTTAGTGTTAATGGCAGTGACAGTGTGTTTTATGTAAAAAAAAAAAAAGAAAAAAAAAAAGACAAACAAAATGCACACTATTGTTTCTGGACTGTACTACGGGTACAAACAACAAATAACATACACATATATGGTATCGCTGCGATCAACAAGAACTGGAGAATGTATTTTGGGTTGTTCTTTGGTGGTAGGTTATGGTTGTAACAAGAAACACACAGTTAAATTTCAAAAAAATGATTTTCTTTACTATTTTGGCCCAGTTTTCCTTTAATAATAAAAAAAAAAAAAAATTAGGAGCTAGCCATTACCATTTACCACCAAATGAAAGCCCAAATTGTCCTGAAAAAAACAAGGTATAATCCACCTGGATGTACAAAGTAGTTGTGACGATATGTACGGTTTTACTAACACATGTCAACGTTGCAGAATTGTGCTTAGGCATTTAGATTTGTTTTACCCTTAGGCATGAAGGGGTTAAGAATCATTTACCTCAACACCTTTACAAGAGGTTGAAGTAAAACCAAAAAAATAACTGTTTATTAAAGCCCAGACACATACTTTATACCCCTAGGATGGGTGTCGGCAACCCGCGGCTCCGGAGCCGCATGCGGCTCTTTTTCACCTTTCCTGTGGCTCCGGAGCACACTGCCCACTAGGTGACAGGCAATAGGGTCGGCAAGCCGCGGCTCTTTTAATGCAGCTCTTCTGTGTGCCGGGCGCCCGCTGGCAAACATTGGCTGTCAGGATGTAGGCGGGGCAGCGTGACGAACTCCTCTCCTCTCACAGTTTGCCCTGAAGACCAGAACGGCGCGGGAACACAGCGAGAGGAACGCGCGGAGCAAAGGTAAGTGAACTGACACAATATGGGGAATGAATTACTATAGGGGGGATGAATTACTATAGGGGGGATGAATTACTATATGGGGGATGAATTACTATAGGGGGGATGAATTACTATATGGGGGATGTATTTTCAGTTTTAAAAATGTTTCTCTCAAAATAAATTTCAATCGTGGTTTTGGCGAGATTTGGCTCAGTTGAAAAAAAAAAGGTTGCCCACCACTGACCTAAGGCTATGATTGTGATTATGACGATACACTGTGGCCCTGATTAACCCTTTGCTTACTGGGCCCTTAAACCCCCTTCATGACCAGAGCGCTTTTTGCAATATATGCAGTGTCGGATTTGTTTTAAATGTTGCAATGGTTTTGCGGCTCCCAGTCTTTTTTTCCCTCTCGGAAACGGGTCCAAGTGGCTCTTTATGTCTTAAAGGTTGCAGACTCCTGGCCTAGGAGGACATTCCCCTCTTGGGGATATTAACATAGATAAAATAAGATGTACAGCCAGTAAATACGACCTTTAAACATTAATCTAATTAACAGCTAGGCACATACAGTGCCTTGAAAAAGTATTCATACCACTTGAAATCTTCCACATTTTATCATGTTACAAACAAAAACGTAAATGTATTTTATTGGGATTTTATGTGATAGACCAACACAAAGTGGCACAGAATTGTGAAGAGGAAAAAAAATGATAAATGGTTTTCAACAAGTAAATATATGAAAAGTACGGCGTGCATTTGTATTCAGCCCCCCTGAGTCAATACTTTTTAGAACCACCTTTCCCTGTAATTAAAGCTGCAAGTCTATTTGGAGATGTCTCTACCAGGTTTGCACATCTAGAGAGTGAAATTTCTGCCCATCCTTTTTTCAAAATAGCTCAAGCTCTGTCAGATTGGAGGGAGAGTGTCTGTGAACAGCAATTTTCAAGTCTTGCCACAGATTCTCAGTTAGAATGGCCCAGTCAAAGTCCAGACCTAGATCCAACACATGAATATGCTTTGATCTAAACAAGGGGTCTCCAAACTGTAGCCTGGGGGCCAGATGTAGCCTTTTGTTTGCTTTTATCAGGCCCTTGGGGCACTATTTCATTTACGGATACCAAGAGTGGGGCATAATTCCCCCTGCAGACACCAATGAAGGAGCACAATTCCTCCCAATGACACCAGCGAGGGGGCACAATTTCTCCAAAAGACACCAACAATGGGGCTCAATAACACCAATAATGGGGCACAATTCCTCTGGATGACACCAATGATGGGGTACAATCCTTCCACTGATACCAATGATGGGGGTATTGTTCTTTCCCACGGATATTGGGAAATTTTCTACTCCCAAACTGGCCCTTTGTTTGGAAAGTTTGGGGACCCCTGATCTAAACCATTCCATTGTAGCTCTGGCTGTATGAAACAAAGAGCAAAAAAGTGAGCGCTTTAGATGGACAAGCAGCTGAAACGCACAGGACAACCAAAAAATCCTCACATGAATATACAATATAAAGTGCAGCGCTAAAATTATAAAATGTGACATAAGAACATAAAAGTCCCGTTAATGAAAGTCCCAATAAAGATGACCTCAGGTAACAGTGCACACTGACCAGAGGTGCACGCAAAATAAATGCAATATGGCAAAGATGGAGTTCAGGACGTAGTCATCAGCATGGAAAGGACAGATGTATCCCCTTGATCAGAGAAGATCCACACGGTGGAGATAAAAACAGAGCAGAATAGATCCACTAGACAGCAAGGAAGGAATCACAGCTCCACCAGAGAAAGCCACCACTCCTCCACTGCACATCAACGGTATCTAGGAAGAGATGCTCCCCACAAGGGATCAAGAAAAAATGCCCATAGTGAAGTACAGTTGAAACTGGTTTATTAGGATAAGACAGGATGCATCCAATAAAATAGCAGTAGGTGAAACAGCACACGGCTAGCAAACATGAAAGCTAGCTATTAAAAAACAAGGACTAACCGTCCTGTCAGATGTAGTGGCCGCCGGAGCTCCACAATGCTCAGACGGCGTGACGTCAAGGCGTGCGCAGGCTCCTCCTTACGCGTTACGTGCCAAGCACATCTTCAGAGAAAAGAACCGGTGTACGCCGCGACGTGCAAGTCAGAGCTAAATAGATCAAAAGGCGCATGCGCGATAGCCAGGCGCCATTTTGTCATAGCTCAAAAAGGTCTGCATGTCCGTCATAGATTATCAGAAGGACAGCAGACGGTACACATCAATCATAATCAAGCATAAATTCTCTATACAAAAGGATTATACATAATGGAGAAATGCTACTGAATATTAAAAAGGAAGAATATAACTATAACCATGGATAATATCATGATTACTTAAAAACAAGCCAGAAAGAAAGGCGCATGCGCGATAGCAAGGCGCCATGCTATCATAGCTCAAAAAAACAGAGTCCACATGCTCGTCATGAATTAACAGAGGAGCAGTGGATAATACCTCAATTAGGGATT